ATGCCCAAGTTTAGCGGCCGGAGGCGGGACCCTTCGTCGACCATCGGCACAACCGAAAAAATGCTCGGAATTTCGCGCGCGCCTATATATAGCTATACCGCGCCCCACAAAAAGCCACATAGGTACGAGCTAACTCAGGAAATACTTTGCCAAAATTTCGTTTCGTTTCGTTTCGTCTCGTCTCGTCTTGTTTCGTCTCGTCTCGTCTCTCTTTCACTCTCTCTCTCTCTCTCTCTCTCTCTCTCTATTTCTCCTTCGGCTCGACGATTAGAATCAGTAGCTAGAACGATTCACGGAGGCTCGATCCTCGAGCCTTTACAGCAAAGTCTACGGCACATACTACGAGTCCAACTATGCATAGTACTACAGGCTCCGTATACTGCCTCGGCTGGTAGTGAAAGAGAAAAAAAATCTTTGCTTCGTCCAGGTCTCGAGCAGTGTAGGTCTTTCCACGAACGAGCCGTACATATATATAAAGAATGTATCAGCGAGGATATACCTTGTAATAAAATCGGACTATAGGTAGCAACGCCGACTGAATGGATTAACTGCTTCCATTCAAATTTTCAACGGATTTGTACAAGCTTTTTTTTGTGCTCTGCACGATTGCCTGCATCATTCGAGCTCATACATCTCTTACTTAGACAAGCTAGGCATGGCCCATATATTTTTCAACTAATTGCCTTTGGTGATAAGAAACCCTTGCCTTTTTTCAAAAATGATCATTACATGCAGTATTGAGCAAATGTGACCAAGTGATTGTCATCGTACACTTTTTTTCCTACTTTACAGGGTGTTTAGTACTTTATTTCGACTCGATGAAACTTTTGTTACATAATATGCTTGTTCAAACTTCACCATTTAACAAAAACAGTATGAACAAATTAAATCTTTATATAATTTTGTACGAATTACAGAAAATTAATTTTAATTATCTTGCACAGATGCATTTTAAATTTTCATGCATCTAATTAATTATCACACCTAATTAAAACAGTTAATGCAAGAGAAAATTTTCACAGTTCTAAACTATTTTAATCAAATCTTTTATTTTTTAGAATGATTGGCAAGGAAAAGTTAACGTTTATAAACTTGAGTTTTCAGTCAATAGGGAATTCTTAGAAGAAAGGTAACAACATTTTGTTGTATGTGGGGAACAATGGATATTAAAAAAAGTACATATCCTCAATGGACGTAGGCATTCGATGTTATTAGCATTACTGAAATTCGTGCAAGTTAGTCTTTTCGTTCGGTGTCGGGCCGTTGTTACCTTAAATTATTTTTAAACTGTGCGTAAGAGGCCGTTCGCATTGCATCAGAAAGCCACATGCGTTTCCTTCCATTCAAGCTACAATGTATAAACAGCCGCGTAAATATATATACCTCGTGATGCATGCCGGCTATTGAGTTATGAATCAAAGGGTAGCAAATATTTAGCTGATTTCTGCGAACGTACGGCCAACCGCGTCTTCTATTCCAGAACACGTCGATAGTGTGGCTCCGTGTCTTTATCGCTTGATCTTGAATGTGAAATTTCTATTATGCACGTGATCGTTTCAGTGCCTAATTTTGCCTTAGGCAGAGAGAAGCTGACCAGCGTTTAAGCTACGTGACTCGCATCCGATTAACTTCATTCTCAAGGATCTTTCTATGCACCTCGGCTAATGACCTTTTACTTATTATTTACCTGTTTTCATCTTATTATTTCAACGCGAATAATTTGAAAACTGGAATATGTCTTTGCTTACACAAAGTTATAGGTATTATAACATTTTGCAAAACTCGAAAGAAAGAAATTGTCGAGTCATGCTCATCGACAACGTCCACAAGTATTGTTGTGATGCTGTATCTATTTGACTTCAACAACCTATACAATAAACCATAAAAGTAGTCAATCAAATAATCAGACAAAAGTATGGTAAAAGTAGTAACTTATTTTCATTTTGAAACTTCTTTTTATATTCCTCAAAACTAATTCTCCTTTAAAAATTATCTTATTGACAGCTACGATTTAATTATTTCTGTTAAAAGCATAATAAGTTATAGCACCCATTTACATTGCTTTCAAAGATTGAACAGTTTTAGTACTACTGGTCGATACAAAAAGCGAATATAAAAACTGAACTTTTTTTCAATGAATCATGCTCATTTTATTGATGCATTCACACATGATAGTATATTTGTAGTTTGAAATGATAATGTACTTTTCGTCATTTTTTTTTATTACTTTTGATTGAAAATACAAGTTTCATGGTTCTGAAATAACGTATTTAAAAAATTGAAATATAATTTTAGTGATTAATAAATTGATATGACGCTTACTTTCCTGCTTCCAATTGTATCATGACATTCGTCGAAGCGTTCGTACATCTTTTATTGACATTAATTACTCTCAACATAATTTTCCTCGTATTAAAAATCAATTGATTTTATCATGATAATGAAGTTAAAATAGAGAAAAGTTGCTTCAATTTTTAATGATTAAAAAACTATATGACTTAAGCATTGTACAATGTACATAGGTCCCCAAGAAAACTCTTAATTTCTCATTCTTAATTACGTTTGCTTTTTATTAAAACTTTTATTGTATCAATGTCAACATGCTGAGATTTTTATACTTTCTTGCTTTTCATAATTTGCAAAACGCATTTGATTTGTAGCATGATCAATTTAGGCCAACTTGCATCGCTCGTGTTAATGCGTGGCAGGTGGTAATTGTCCCAATAAATATAACATTTTTTTAGATACGTCATTTATGGAAGTTGTAAAAAATTGAGAATTAAATGAATTAGTTAATCATAAAATTATATTCTAATTAATGAAGCGCGCTAATAATGGATACGCAATTGATAAAATGCAAAGTTGAAAGTCAGACATGCGTTAAAAAGCATGAATGAGTCGCAACCATAAGTCTCATTCAACGAGTCGGATAAAATGTGTCAATTAATTAATTTTCAGAAGCGTGAGCCGAGGCGCTGCGATTTTTTGCCAATCCTTGCTAAAATTTTGACCATTCGATCGAATGGAAACGCTTCCGTCAACAGATAATGTCGAGCATGCATAGTGTTACAAGAAACGAGGTAGGTAAGATGGCTCGAGACGAAATTGCCCCAAGCCAGCTAATATATTATATCGAGCATAAATTAGAGGACGCGTAAACGGTTGCTCTCGGGGTCGGCACACACGAAATACGACAGTCGTACGATAATGATCGGGGTATTTAGAGCGCTTATGCATGCGAGCTGCGAGAGAGAAAAGTCAGAGAGCGTAAATGGGTACTAATTCGGGCCCTTGAGCTGCGAGCCTCTCTGGATCTTACCGCTTCCAGCCGACCGTGCGATTTGTTGAAAGTTCAATAGGCACATGCCTCGAGCAAGTCCGAGTGCAAATTGTACGGATAACTGTTTAGCCGCTGTTATCTGCCCAGTGCTCGGCGTTTGATGCGCGACGATGATGCTGCTCACTGCTGCTGCCCAAGCCTGTAGCCACTGTCAGCAGTTGCACACGCCAATAACTCCGATCGAATTCAACGACATTTTTACACGTTCGAGTCGTTGGGTGAATTGTCGAGGGTGAACGGGATTTAGCCACCGAGAGCTGGTTGCGTTGAGCTCGTTAAGCAATTAACATTTTTAAACGACGATTCTTCAATCGTCTCTTATATCATGATTTCATATACGTGCAATGAGATACTGATTTCGTCTAGATTGCTAACTCATATAGCAGCAAGAGATTGCAGCTTAAATCTATATTATCACCCCGAGGATTATTTTTTAAATTCCAAAAACATTTTCGCAGCCCTCGAAAGCATTACAACATTTTTTCTTTCGTTTTCTTTTCGTTACAAAATATCGATTCATGAAGATAGGACGTTTGAAAATCATGAGCCATTGAATCAGTCACCATAACCAGATTAATTATACCCATGTGATTGTTTGAGGACAAATTACTATTTCTAAACGCCTACGAAATAAGGAAAGAAAAATGAAAGGCTCAAGAAACGCAATGATAAATAGCCAGTTGAATATTGAACTTTGATTTACGCAGGCAAAATCTCATTTAAAATCGGATATGCTTGAGTCGATTACTCATCGCAGGTGTATTAATCCTCACATTCAATTATTTTTGACTACACGCGACGACAAGGTGGCTTTATTGATACATTTACATTCGCCTCTCAAAAAATCCGAATTCGAATTATCATATGTTAATACATTAATACAATTTGATCCTCATCTCAAAGATAAGTTTTACTATTAAGATTTAAATGTCTGATGGATTCGTCATTCAATTTTGAATTTGCGTAAAACTTTTATTATCAAGTTGTAATTGTAAAAAATAGACTTGAGTATATTGCGCATGATTGCCACGCTATTTTTAGCTACTTATCTTTTCAGCCATCAAATATTATGTCAAGATTTTAATAAAACTATACAGCTTCAGTGATCTTTAATGCAAAGTACTTCGATTTAAGGTTTCTTAGAACTTCAGTGACGCACAGTTGAAAAAACTTTGATGTGTTTACTCGATGTACATTCATTTTTTATCTCATCGACGTATTTATTTAAGCGTTCATTTTCTAAGATTTTATAGATATATTAATTAAAAATTGAATCATCATAAATGAATGTATGTACACATAAGCCTATAGAACCCGTTCAAACAAAACCGACTTTCTTTTTTATAAATATTTTGCTTGCGTCACAAAATTATTATCCGTTACTTGAAATGTAGAAGATTAGTCGACTCTACTGAAACACAAATTGGACTCCAGCAAAAATTGAAAACCAAAGTGGGCAGAGCAAAATTTTTCTTTTTTTTTTCTTTCATATTAAATGCTCGTTAAATTGTATTTACCGATAAAAAGTAAAATTCAAAATAAATTGTCTACGTTACCGATTGTGTTCAAAAGGAAACCACGCTTACTCGCAATTTATCGATTTTTTCAATACTACAGACATGTGCTGCCATCTGTATAATATTAATCCGAAACTCATTGAACTACGTCTGCTACCAGTTTTGGATAGATACAACAGACAGAATAGAAACGTCGAAAATGGCCAAAGCTCTAGGTTTAGATAAACTTGTCAATTTCTTCAGAAGTATCAAACACAATGGTGGCATACTCGGCAGCTTGCGTACTCTTTACAGGTTTGACTGATTTGTGTGAATATACATTAACATTTGCCCGTCAACTATAATTTTTAATTTGCTAGGTTAAGTTACCAATGTTATGAAACAGATATTTTTATTTTTCCTCTTATTTCCAGAGTTGACGAGCTCAAGTTTGGAGACTTGATTGGTGAAGATAAATATGGAAACAAGTATTATGAAAACAACATGTATTTTTATGGTAAGACTTTATTCAACTTTCAATCACTTTAGTTGATGTTTTTACTGTACAGTAACTTGTCAATAATATTAATAATTTACAGGCCGCAACAGATGGGTCATCTATTCTCCTCGTGTCCATATGAATTACGATGCATCACAAGTCCCAGCTGAATGGTATGGGTGGCTGCATTATAAAACTGATTTGCCACCTTTCAAAGATCCAAGCCGACCAAAGTACAAATGGATGGTAGACCATACCCCTAATCTATCTGGAACTAACAAGGCTTATATGCCTTACAGCACCGTCAAGACTAAAATTGAAGCTTGGCAACCAAAGGATTGAGATTGTAACATAGAACTTGTACAGTTTATCTAGGTATAATTTATATTACAAATTTGTTGAGTGTTGATAACTGGTTAAATTTGATTTTACTTTTGAGATACTTCAATGTATGAAAACAATAATCAAATACAATAGAATTCTGAAATGGTATAATAATTTATGAATAATTATAATTGATATGAAAACCCTCTACTCAAGTATTATACAGCATTGAATATTTGTTTTTTGTTCTGTTGTGATAAATTTCATGTTTCTAATTCCTTATTTATAATGTTTGATTCTACTTAAATTTTTTTTTTTTACCATTATGTATTTTGATATATTTATTTTCTTATATTCATGTAAAAGTTTCATTGTATGATTTGAAAATAGAAGTATCAAATGAATTTTTATCTAATAGTTTTGGTTTGAAATTTTTCAATTGCAGAAATGAAAGTGTTGGTATAATTTTCACCTTAAATCGTTTCATCTTAATTTGGCATTGATTAATCTAACAAAATAAATGGCGGCCTTTTATCAAATTGACCAGTTTATTCAAACGATGAAGTGCTGAATTTAATTGTCCGGAAATAATGGAAAATGAAAAATTTTGATTAAAAATTAGAGAAACTGAATCAAAGGTAGTGTTTTGAAATTTTAATTGACTCTTGAGCAAGTAGTAACAAAATGAATTAAAATTAAAATTAAAATTGATCGAAATAAGTGCAATGAAAGGTGAAATAAGAAGGATGAAAGGTTCGAGAATGGTGGCTGGGCTAGGGCTTGGCGGTCGCTGCTCTTACACGTACACTTGCGGGATAAATGATTGCTGTTGGTCTTTGGCGCGCGTAGTTAAAGCCAAAAGTTGTTACGGCAAAGGCGGAGGTTGAGAAATGGTGTTGAGAGGCATGCAGTGTACATGCTATATCGGAGCCGGCGGGACTCGAAGCTAATTGAAGGCATACGTTATCCCCAAGACTTTTGTCGCCCGAGCTCGCAGCTGACACGTGTGTAATTCGCCGCGCTCAAGTGTATGCGCGCTAACGGAAAATTATTGACTTACTTAGAGGAAAAACCACCGCATCGGCGTTAAGTGCAGTCTAGCCCGAGCTCGCAAAGTTCAGTGTCTCCTCTTATTAGATTAAAACTCAGCCGAGAGCCCGGAGCGCCGGCTAAAGCGCGCCGCATCTTATCGCGTCGTGGTTTTCGCGTCTTTATATACGCGCACGGGGGTGTGTTTTTACATATGAGCACTTTGGCGAGAGAAGAAGAAAAAAAAAGCGCATGAAAAATCACCAGCTCCTCGCGGAGGACATTTGTTTTGATTTTGCCGGGGCGCGGCGTATCGTCGCATTACCGAGGGGGGTAATCATCGCTTCCGATGTAAAACGACGACTCGTGCCTCGGATAAAAAGCCGAGGGAAATGATGGCGCGCCGAGCGAAAAAAGGCGTATTATTAAAGGCGCGAGAGAAGAAGCGGAGCTTTCGGATTGAGTTAGACAAAGTTTCCTCTTTCTCGCCGAGTGTATGTGCAGCTCCACAGCGGCAGTGCTCAGGCAACTCTCGGCAAGGGGCTGTGTATGTAGCGTACAATAGGAACAAGGGAGCGAACAAGACTACACGCAGCAAGCGCAGGAGGATAATAAATCAGGCTTACGCCCATTAGTAATATGGCGCTAGCTGCTATCGCTGCACAAGATTATTGTCTCTCTCTCTCTCGCTGACTCGTCTGGGCTCGTTGAAAATTCGCGGATGATATCGCAAAGCCGCCACCGAGCGCCGACCATTGTCGTGCCAGCGACACGTGTCTATCTCGTAGCTATTTTCCAACGCAGCAGATAGGCTTTTTTATCTTGACCGTGTATACTAATACGCGCGTGCATTCGTACAGCACTCGTCGCTACGTTTCCTTCGCTTTCTTTCTTTTTTTTTTTTACAAATCGAACCGAGTTGGCCATATTTATTTGCATGCGAGCGCAAAGCTGCAATCGAGTGATTAATATTACGAGACTTGGGCGGCAAGTTTCCGAAGCGTTTCGACTTGCGACGCTTGGCTCGAGCTTGAATTTGGCCCCGCGACGATCGCACTCGCTACGTGCGGCAATATCGACGCCTCGATAAATTTATCGCTTCCAGCTCTTTTCTCGCTCGCTCTCGCTCCATCTCGCAATTCCAAGCGGACAAAATCAATGAGAGCGAAAATTTCACGCCTTGTAAAATGCGCTAATTATGCAGCTCTCGATGTGCCGTGTTTGGCCGAGAAAAAGCTCCGCTGCTTTCGTATACGGATCGCAGGGGGGTGGGAGGGAGCGCGAGGAGGGGAAAGTCGAGCTCGCTCGCCCGCGCGCAGATAGCGAAAGCTCGACATTTTTATGAGAGCAGCGGCGGAGGTGGGCGCGATGCGATTTACGCCCCCTCCCGCACGCGGCACGCGAGATTCGATATCTTCGACTGCAGAGGCGAAATGCCAAAAAAATGTCAAGCTCCGCGGGGAAGCTCAATCATGCCTCTCGTCTGTGCGTGGCTCTGCCGTATACGTATCGTGTGATTGTACAGCCAGTGTATGACTCGCATATATTTGTACGTTATTACATTCGCCGCTCCCGGATTACTCGCTCGCGACCCTTTTATTAAATTAATCTACTGTTTAGTAAATTGATGCGCGCAACTCGTCGGCGTCCTGGCGCGGCTCGCAGCCTGGAGGGGCGGACTCCGGGGCGAAACATTACAATATTAACGATCTATCGCCCGGCGTATTTATCGTTTACTCTCTCGACTTTTGCCGATAAATATATACATACATACCCGTGTATTATTTTCCGAGCCTGAACTTTTTTCATACTTTGCTCGCTCTCTCGTAGGCGCGCGCGCGCGCGGGAGAAAAGTTTTTTTACAGTTATGTTAGCTCGTATACTTGAATTCTTCATTCGACTGCTGCATGTAGCGCCTTTTATATGTAATGTAAGTACTTAGGGCCGCCGGCTCGACTCAGGGTGCAAGGAGCACGCTGTTTTATTAATACATGCCCTTTTCTTCCCTCCGCCGGCTCGAGCTTGTAAATCCTCTCATTGCGAGCCAATTTATACTTTTCAACTCGTTTTCCCTCCCACTCAGCCCGCCTCGTTTTGACGGCCCAGCCTATCGCAGCTTTTTCTGCGCCGTACTTTTTTCTTGCGCCACTACGTGCATAGTGCAAAAATTAAAGGGCTGCTCTCCAAGTTCGAGGAGCGCCAGGGGCAAGACCATCGTAAATCAAGTAAAAATTACCTATTCTCTGGCTTGAGATGAAGTTTTTATAATTCGCTCCGCTTTCTGATTGCCCCGGAGATAGAACGAGAGTAAAAAATGAATTATTCCTCTCTCGTTGTACGTTCTGCGCGTTGCTTGCAGATATTGGCGAAGGTCCGCTGCTCCATTTTTTTGCGAGACGCTAACTGTTTTTCAGTAATTAATCAACGTTGAAGCTTAATTAGTATGCCAAATCGATCGCTAGTTTTGTTTGCGCTAAAAAAAAAAAAAAAAAAAAATAAAAAGTCCACGACTCGGATGAAAGATCAGGATAAACAAGTGCGGCTGTGGCTAGGAGCATCCGGACCTTTGGCAAAGTAGCCTCGAGGAAGCATCCCATATCGCCTCGATCGAGGGGAAATCGCCCTTTTCGGATTTTTTCCAATCCAGGGAAGATTTAATCAGTGGAGCGCAGAAAGAGCGAGAAATCAATCGAGCACGAAGGAAACAGTAATAGTCGGCAGCAGTAGCAACGGCGGCGTCGACGACATAGAAAAAAGTCATTGTGGCAGAAGGCCAGGCCAGGCCAGAAGCGGGCCTTTGGTTAGAGTAATAGTATAGATTATAGACTAGACAGCATAAGAGCCAAAGTGGCGAAAAGAGCATCTCTAATACAAGGCGAATTGCCGGAGACACGCATGTGATACAAGGGTAAAAATGACGTTTTTGCCGTAGTCGCGTCGTTTACGCTAATGGACTGGGATGGGGACGAGGATACGGATACATATACGTGTATGTGCTGTACGTATATGCGCCCAGGCTCGGGTGAATAAATGCACTCTACGCATCAGCTGTCCTATTGTTATCGTATTGGCCATTTATTCGATATAATTTTTTTTTATATCATCGTATTCGTTATATTTATATATATATATATATTTGTATTTATAATTCATATAATTTTTCGTCGCGCGTATTTTATACAGTATATAATCTATATAATCGGTAAAATAATATAATACACAAGCCGATGCGTCGGGATTATTTTCAATCGTTTACATAATTATAATAACACGTATGTATAATTTCTTTGTACAAATTTTTTTTTATCCATTCGCTCGTTGTATATTCCAGCGGTTATTTACAGTAGTTGTACAACACATTCATTCATGTCCTAATAAACTGAAAATTCATATATAAATAATCTATCTATACTTACACGGTACTGTACAAATGTCGTATCGTATTTATCACGTATGCATGTCGTCAAAAAGTGTTGGCTATAAAAATTGCCGAAATAAAAAGCCGAGCAGGCTGACATCTCGTTATTGCTTGTATTATTATTTCTTTAAACTTGCGCGTCCGCTTCGTTGCAGCATATATCGTTACAAAGAAGAATAACAATACGATGTCGTCGCTCGCCTCGATAAGATTTCTCGATACTCGTGGACAATTTGGCAAAAGTGTTGGATTCGGCAGCAAACGAGGCAAGTTGCGAGCTCCAGTCCATACGAGTACGCGCGTCATGGGTAATAAGCACGCAAAAAGCTCACACTCGCGTACGGCGTGCGTACGTATTTGTTTGGCCGTGATTACAATATAATGACGGAAACGATAGTTAGAAAAGACTATGAAAATCAGAAGACGAGGAAGACGAGGACGACGAGCGTAGGACGATAAAAAGTCTGCATGCCTTGGGTACGATGAGTGCGGAATTAAGCAGTATAGCTAAAGGGTGGGGTCTATGTACAGCGGGACTATGTAGAGTGCGATGGTTTTCGAGAGTGTTTGTGTGTGTGTGCATATAGCAATAATATCAAACCATGTGTGTTGGTGTGAGTAAAGTGAGAGGGGCTGGGTATAGGTAGCTAGAGGTAGGTACGTATATATGTAAGTATGGATATATATGTATGTAGGTATGCGTAATATGTACAAATGCACGTCGTCGTCCCGTATAGTAGCTGTGTGTGTGTGTAGCGAGGTTGCGCGCGCGCAAGCCGCAGACTACAAGAGGGTAGCCGCTCCGCTCTATCTCTCTATCTGTCGTCCTCGTTCGCGAGGAATATGGGTGGTGCTCGGCTCGCTCCCTTGCGAGGCCACGCCTCTCTTTTTCGCGCTCGGCTCGTCCGACGTAGGCAAGGGCGGCCCTCTGGATCAGTACTGCTGCTGACCGAGTTCCCGTCTCAGGCGCTTGGCTGCCGTTTCGGCCGACGAGCCGGACGACGAGCTCGAGCCCGAGGACGAGCCCGTGGTGAGCTGGAGGCCACCGTTGCTGCTGCCCAGCATCTGGTGGTGATGCTGCTGCTGATGTTGCTGTTGCTGATGCTGATGCTGCTGGCCGTGATGCTGATGGTGCCCGTGATGCTGGTGGCTCGAGGGCGCCTCCGAGGACTCGGGGTCGTCGCTGCACAGGTCCTCGGGCTCGGCGCTGCCGACGCCTTCGACCTCCTCCTGGCGTCGCTTCGCCGTCGCCATCTCGGCCGCGTGCTTTTTCCGCCACTTGGTCCGTCGATTCTGAAACCAGACCTGCAACACAACGGAAACCCAAAAGCCCTATAAAATCACGCTTTTTTTCTCGCTCTTTCAACGGCTAGCTCTTATACTTCTACCGCTCGCATGGCCTAGCAGGCTTTAATTTTCGACTTTTTATACCCCGAGACGTCTCTTATTTTTTAATTCGCTCACGAGGAAGACGGCAGCGTTCGCATATCTTTAATTTAGGCACGCGGTGTACTGCTGTTGTTTTCTCTCTCTCTCTCTCTCAGGCTCGATCTCTGCGGCCGCGTGCAATCTCCGAGGCCAGCGCCAAGCTATTATATTCCCTCGGCGCCCGTTACCTTAATTAAATACATTGTTGCGGGCGACGTAGCAGCACTCCATATATACACACCCAAGCACAGCTGACGGCAAATTATTATTCGCCTCCGTATACGCTACATAATGCCGTAGCTGCTGGAATTTTATTTATTTATATGCAACTCGTCAATTTTCGCTGGCAGCTACGGATACGCTGACTCGCCTATGTGTATGAACCTGCACTCGCAGTAGCTGCTACTTAATGGCTTTTGTTTTTTCGCACATTTCCCAGACATTTGCCTGGAAGCCTTGTAAACATAACTAATTAAGCCCTTTTATGCTTATGGGGTCCAGAATAAGAGAGTAGTTGCGTACACGTATATCTATATCTATATATAGGCGGGCTTTAATGCGCGCGAGGCAACAAATTTCTTGCCGGCCGTGGCTGCTCTCTCCGAGCTTTCTTCCTTCTGCCTGTATATTAATGTGCTTTTGCCGCACTTAAGCCTCCTCGGTGTATATTACACGCATTGTTATTACGAGCTCTGCCTAATGAAATCAGATGAATTTCCTCGAGGATTTTATATTCGCGTTAGAGCACCTGACCACACCCTGCGCACGACTGCCTGTCGACGATATCCCCCCTTTTAATTCTTTTTTCCATTCGTCGACATGTATGCGTTGTAAATTCGACTGGTCGAGTAGCCGGTACTGTCGGCGCGTCGGCTGAAAAATAGTCGATCGATCATTTCGATATACGAGAGAGAGATTATGTGGCCTTTAGCCCGCTCTCGGGCCAATGATGCGACACACGCGCGTTATTCCACGGAGAATCCCTTTTCTCATATTTTTGCTGAGCTCGTCCGCAGCAGCGGCGGTGGCGGCAGCGCGCAACCAAGGGGAATTTACAAAAAAGCAACGCAACTGGCGTCCAAATTCATGTACATATTAAATAAAACTTTTGGCTGCGCCACAGAGAGACAGAGACATTATTACATACATAAAATGCATATGTGAGGTTGCGCGGCGCACTACGCCAGCGGTTGTTACGCGGTAAAGCAGATAGTACACGTACTATATGTATGCAGCATTACATATAGGAGAAGCGGCGTCGGCTTGTGTATTATATGAATCAGAGAGCGACGCTACTACTGGCTTGCTGCTATTGCTGCCGCTGCTGCCTTTTTTTACTCAAAGCTCATATTTACAGGCCTCGAAGCTGAGATCGCTCGATATTCAAATTGCCAACGATAGAGAGTGAGAGAAGCTGCTGGCGGTGGCAGTTATTTTCAATTGGCTATGCGTTGCGCGTACTTTGACCGGCGATTTAATTAAACGATAAAATCAAGCAGCGAGAGAGAAAAAGAATCGAAATGAGTGACGACTCGCTATATCGTACTGTATAACGTATACAACGACGCTACAGGCCAAGCTCCAGTTTGGCAGTGTACATGTGCGCGCCTACACACCCGAGCAAGATGAAGTGGTAATAATGTACGATCGAAGATCAGCTCCCATACATGGATCGCCGCGACGAATAGAAAAGCACGAGAGCACAGGTGGGCTTTTATCGTCCTGTGTGCCCCCGGCCAAGCTCTATACCACTGGCACTGGCTGCCTCGACGGCCAAAGGCGCGGACTCGGCAGGAAAAGCCGATAATGCCGTCTTTCGTATTCCGTTCGAGTCTCTCGCCTCTCCAGCCTTTACCCTCCGATCCCCCAATAACAATCACAATAATACCAATAATAATAATATTGAGAGAGAGAGAGACGAGCTGTACGACTCGAAGCGATTCCGTATTCCCGAGGAATCAAATTTCGCGAGAAAGGAAAAAGAAGATTTTACGGTCGCAGCTTCGGTCGTGCGCGCAGAACGCGAAAACTCGAGCTGCTGCCAAGAAAGCAACCAAGTCCCAGCAGCGACTCGTGTGAATTTTAGACATTCATCGACGTTTCCGTCGCCGCTTCGAAACCATTGGTCCGGAAAAACTTTTGAAATATATTTAGAGAGAATCGCGTTCGGCTCAATTCACGCGTACATTTTACGATAATCATATAACCCGATGCCTTTAAAAAGCTGCATAGTACGCGATGGGCAAAGAGCTGCTTAGGCCACGGATAAAGCCAGTAGGGGGTGTCAGGTGGGTTCTCTCTCTCTCGCGTTAGATTTGCGGCTAAACACAGCGGCGACGAGCACTCGGAGATGGATGACTTTCTGCAATAAAAAAGTCGAGTGCGCCTCGAGCCGTTGGTATATATAGCTGCTCTTGTCTCGAGTAATAGTGTCTATCGTAGCAACAGCAACAGCGGTTAGAGCCAAGTGAGCTCGGAGCTTAGATAATCCTGATTTAATAAATCTAACAGTTGTGTGTCTGTGCTTGTACTGTCCGTCCGTGGAGTCGAGGCTTTTCTCCCCCTTCTAAAGACGCGCTGTACATACAGAGACACACTGGTAGCATCGAGCTATTATGCGGCAGCAGCACACGCCCGGCGTGACTGATGCGATGACGAAAGAGAGATACACGGGCAAAAAATGAGCAACGAGGACGAATAATCTCAAAAGGAGCGCGCGCGTTATGATCAATCTCTCTTTTTTTTCTCGCTACTAATTGTTTTTGCTTTTGCCGATGAAGTCGATCCACGATGCCCAGCTCGGGCGGATTGTCTTAAATAATGATGCTTTTACTCTGTCGCTGCTATATAGATGCGTAGGTCGAGCAAAGAGAGAAATGAATGCGTTTGAATGTGTATCCCGCTGAGTAGATTCTGCGATGGTAGAGTAGCGAGATGAGACACGTCCCCTTGGGCGCACACACATTATCTAGTGCGACGAGGCGGCGGCGGCCATTCGTTTCACTTGGCTAGGCCAAAGTGTAAACGATCGAGCCGGCAAGTGCATGGCTAGCTCGTTGAATTATTAATACAGGCGAGCAAACGATCGAGTAACGAGAAGGCCGAGGACGAAAAAAGCTCGCGACGCCTCGTTCCATCTCCATTACGAGTTAACTGGAGAAAAGTGCGCTTACTCGCTATTCCGCATCGAGCAAAAGTACGAGCGAAAGGTCGTGCTTCGGCGTGCACAGGATGCGCGAGTCTCTTTTGGCACTTGGCGTGCGGAGCAGAGAGTCGAGCCTGTGTCGGTTGTGGCGGCTACGGATGTGATTAATGAGCCTAGCTATACGGTGGCGAAGAGAGCAGCGCGTCGTGCGTGCGCGACGTTGAGCTTGTATGCGTAGCTATACAACAGCGTCTGCTAATTGGCGTCATCGATATTGGTCGATCAGTCGCCTGGTGTGCGCTCCCGTGTTCCTCCCTCTCTTTTTCCCTCTCCCTCTTCTTTCGTGTGTACACATATATATGTATATAGCCGATTAGAAAGCCGAGCACGAGAGACGAGTGTAAGCATCCCCTAAGCATCGAGCTTCCGTATATATACATCGAACTCGATCGAGCCATAGCACGGTTATGCGCGCGTATTGTGTGTCACCCCTCGACATAATTAAGGGGGCCGTTTGCTTATATCCAAGCGCATATACATACTACCTACTACATACTCGTACTCTCTCTCATTCTGTGCGCAAAACTGTGCAATCTGCGATTCGCCGCTCACGACAAGGAGAAAGAGGGTGTAAAATATAATATACAATATCTCACGAGCCAGCGCTAATATATGTGATTCTTTTAATTATCCTAAGCGACTCGAATATTATAATGCACGTATCGACGCGGGAGGCGAGTATCGTAAACACTCGCTACCCGCCGAGGCATTAACTACAGCCCCGGAGTGGGTGATAAATCCGATGCGCGGCCCCGATACATTCTCCATATAACTCGATTAGCCCGATCCTGCTGGGGGGCGTCACGCTCTTTTAACCTTTCGCGCTAGCCGAGGCGAGCTTTTAGCGCTATTGCATTGCTTTATAATATAGCGCCTCGATTGCCTACCTTCACTTGTGATTCCGACATGCCGAGGGCGTAGGCGAGCTTGGCCCGCTCGGGACCCGCCAGATACTTGGTCTGCTCGAACGTCTTCTCCAGGGCGAAGATCTGCTGGCCGCTGAACGTCGGCCTCGTGTGCTTCTTTTTGCCGGGCTCGTGATCGGAGCCGCTGCCGCCGCCGTGGCCGACTCCGCCGCCACCTCCACCGCTGGCCATCGCCTGCTGTTGGCAGCCAAGCTGTTGCGACACTGCAAACGTTCAACCATTAAACACTTTTTTTTCTTTCATATTTGCCTATCGCATCTTTTACCCCCGCCTCACTTTTCTGCTGATCACCGCATCAAACAGAAATATTTACTTCCAATCGATTGGCCGTTTGTTATTTACTGCTTTGAGAATGCACCATACTCTTTGACAAAAACATTCCATTGCCAAGAACTCAAAATTGAAGAATTCTTACGACAACCCCCACTTGTTTTTACTTTGAGTACGTCATAATGAGTCTGTGCAACACTTGAAAGCATCGGCCATGGTTCTTGTATTAATTTCATCTCTCCTATTATGCTCTAAAATAATATTGATATTCTCAAGTGGTACTATTCTTATTATAGCGTACTTAAAGTAAAAATAAGTGGGGGTTGTCGTAAGTATTATTCAGTTCTTGCCGCATACCTGAACAACTTCTTGGTAATATGTTTCAGTTTTCTATTCACGTAATATTTTCTTATCTGAATAAGGTGGACACATTACAACAACAAAATGCACTATTCATGGTTAATTAGATAGTTTCAATAACACTTGTCAAAACTTACTGTTTTCATTCTAAGAGTTGATATATTTATTTGCTCTTGAAACATTTTTTAGTTATACTAAAATCTCGTACTTTTCGATAGCCGGAAAAATGCTTTACTTGCTTTCAAATGGGTATAAGCATTTTTCAAGCGCCGGTCCTCTAAAGGTTAATGATATTAAAAGTGTCAATTTAGCGGTCGAAATAACTCATAATATTATTGTCGCACGTATTGCGAACTCAATTTTCATACATATGTAATGAAAATTATTTTTGCTACTGAATAGATTTCTGTAAAAATAAAATGTTAAAATTGAATTTTTTGTTTTTGATGTAAAATTATATTTTTTTAAATCAGGAAACATGTCCCTAGTACTTTTTATTTTTTAATTAGTCCAGCATACATCTATACTGCCTTATCATTCAAAAGCCTTGTGAATCTGAATGGAATCTTTGACCAATTTGGACCGTAGGGATCTCAAAAGCTTTCTAATAATATTTTCCTCCATTTAAATGTAACAAAATTTCAAGAAAAGGCTCGAAAAATTTATCGTATACTAAAATTATCAAAAAAAGTCGAAAATATATTTTTTTCTGTAACACTTACTGTTAGATTTTGAGACTGGCAGATTAAATAAGTAATTTAATCCAAAATCAAAAAACATTTAAATGGAGGAGAATATTATGACAAAGCTTTTGAGACCCCTGGGGTCCAAATTGGTCAAAAATTGCATTCTAATTCATGTGTCACGGGACTTTGGAATCATAAAAAACTTGAAAAAACATAATTTTGCATCAAGAACCAAAAATTCAATTTTAACTTTTCAAATTCCCAGGTTTTTTTTTCAAATCGACTTTTTTTAATTTCCGTGTCTTGTGTCTTCCGATCATATTTTCCTATAAAATCGACCACCGAATCTGCAACTGATATCTGCACGAGTATGCGGATATATGTATGTGTAACGAGTTTTTTACCCCTATTATTCTTTTTTCATTTTCCACAAAGATAAAGTCAAAAAAAGTTTCATCTCGATCAATTTACATTTCAAAATATTATTAGAACTTTTCATAGTCTTTTTGGAATTTTTTTCGAAAGTCGGTCTTGGAAAAACTTATTAAATTTAAATTTTTAGGGCTCGTTCGATAAAATCGGGCCTGAGGCATTTAAGAAATATTTTTTCACTTCAAAATATTGTACTAAAACTTAAGGTTGATTAATTTGAAAGCATTGAATTCAAAGGAGTTATAAAAAAGAATTAACTTAAAATATCGAAGTACTATATTTTGGTGCAAAGTCACCCGAAATATAAAAGTTAACATTTTTCTTAAAATTTATTCCCTTGGCTCTATAGATGCTTACTAGAACCGCTTGTACTATAACGCTCTAGTAACTATTACTCGCACAATTAGTTCTGGAGACTATTTGACAATTTCATTGTATATTGATCCAAGGGATTTTTAATAGGTCGGCTCGTTATTGTTTAATACAGAATAAATGAGAGCATAATAAATAATAGTAATCAAAATCTGTAATATATAATTCGAAAATTTCTTTGAACTTGTATCAAATCTTTCAATTAAATTTTTTTCTCAATTCCCTTTGTTAAATACTATTCAAGAGAAACTTCAAAAAAAATTTCGACCTTTAGATTTTAGAAGACCCTACCAAAATATACGGTCTACCACCAAAACCCATAACGAGTAATTCAATTCAAATTTAGGATCGATAACATTTTTTAGTGCAAACTCTTGGTTAATGTATTGGCACCGGTTTTTTATTTGACGCTCGTCCAAACTTGAAAGTACTTACACATTAATTGAAATAATGGAATAAAAAAAATTAAAATTATTTTTCAGTTATTTGGCAATTAATCAAGCTACGCATGAGGAATAATTTACTCTAATTCAATTTTTCGTTAAGTTAGGTTCTCATAAATTTGAAATAATCACAAATTAAAGAACATTTCAGTTGTTATGTAATATTTTTATGCAGAAGTTGAGTATAAAGTGGATACTTATTGTCGTGAAAATTTGTTAATCGTTAAAAATGATGAAATCTTTAAGCATCAGTCCTTTTTACCTTCTCATTTTATTGTAATTTCTTTCGCTTGATTACTCGCTAGTGCAGGGTAATATTATTAAAAAGCAGAATGAGTGACTTGCGACAGAAATGGCGAAGGTCGCGTTATATTATCGTAAAGATAGGAAGAGAATAGTATATAGTGTCAAAAATGGAAAAGATGTGCTGTATTATTAGGCAAAATCTGTAGATGTGGCGGCGAGAAAATAAAAAAATGCCAGTCAGATTTGGTCGAGAGTCTTTCACGCGAGACACGTATAGATACTCACACACGCGCACGAAATAGAGCAAGTCGTGCAGACACGCACGTTGTGCGCGTGTATAATATATAATATGCGTACATGTGTGAGTGCCTGCTGCTACTGCTACTCAATGCGTTACAACACAAGGGTGAGCTCGGCGCGCGGAAGCTCCGTTTAATTTAATAAAGCAATTTGTAACGGAATACGAAACGAGGCAATAATGGCCGTATAGAGCTGCGATATAGTTGGCTAGTACCACGGCATGCGGATGCCTGGAGGGAGGCGGCAGCTAGGCGAGAGAAAGAGAGGCAGCAACGAAATTTCGCCTTGTCTTAACGAGCTGCTCACCGCACTGACTCGCGCACGGAGCATGAAATTTCCCGCCAGTGTGTGTGTGTGTGACCCGTAGATAATCGTCCGCTGCGATCTTTTGTCCGCAAGCCTCGAGCTCGCAGCTTAGTCCGGTAAAACACATGCGGACACGGCCGCTTGCGAGTCGAGCCGACCTTATTTTCTTTACGCAGACGCGGCGAAAGAGGCAGAAAAAGACGGAGCGCGAAGCCTCGAGAGAAAGAGATGGAGCAGTGCGAGAGAGGAAAGTCGCCCCCCTACTTGTTTCTAGACACACATACACACACACACATACATATATTCAATATCATGCTCGGGAGCGACGACGACAAGCCGACGAACCCTCCCGCAAAAAGCCCTCGGCAAACTGTTTTATCTCTCTTTGTTGTACATGTCCAGCAGGCGGCAAACTCCTGCCATGGCGCACGAAGCTCCTGGACACATCCGCAAGCTCCCTCGCAAGCTTTTTCGCGAGCTATCACTTCTTTCATCGGTCCTTCATTGTTTAGCGGCCGATAAAAAATAAGCACTCGAGCGTCTCCAGCCTCCTCCCATGTAATGCATCATGTATTTATATTCATTTATTGCCGAGCAGTTAATCGGCATCGCGTGCGTGCATAATTAATGGCTTTTCATTGCCAGGCGATATAAAATATTATCTCTCGGGAGAGAGGAGCTTTTTGTGCGCGTACGATGCCCCTGGGATCGCTGAAAAATGGCCGATCTTTCATTCTTCGGCCCAACGATATAAATATCATCGTCCTTCTCTCTCTCTTTTTATGCTGAACCTCATTTTTATTCGAAGCCAGAGCTGCAATAGCAACAGTAGCGGCAGCGCCAGCTTCCGTCCAATCGACCGTCCGTAAACGTATACATAAATTGTCGGTATTATGTGCTCAGGCTGTATACCCCGGTCTGATTTTACGACGTCTGACTATCGATCCTCCGTGTTCGATAACGTATAATATAACGTAAGCGAGCTGCCAGTGCAATTAGGCATGTAAACAACAGCCAGCCTCTCTGGGAAGATATCGAAGTGGCCTTTCGTATTTCGGACACGAAAAGCAAGGAAAAATTCGCTGACAGGGCGTCGCCTCGCACCGTCGGCTGTACAGGATATTCGACGGTGCGACAAAAAAAAAAAAAAAAAAAAAAAAAAAANAAAAAAAAAAAAAGAAAAAAGAAAATGCCGAATGCGTAAAAAGGAAAATAGAAAGGATCGCGTTGGTTGTTTGTACACTCTCTAGGCTGCATGTGCACGCGTGTAGGATCGCGCGAGTAGGGCACTTAACGCTCGATTTTACGCCTGGTTTAACCGCACGTTGTCTTAATCGCTCATCACACCCCGGAGCCCGGCCTGTGTACAACACGCCGAGGCCAAAATCAAATAGGCTCTCTGGCTCGCGCGCACGTGATACACACACCTATATGTAAGAATAATAGCTTTTTCATGCGACGGCGACGCGCAGTTGACGACCACATACATATTACGCGATGTGTAGCCCAGGATTTATCGTATCAATCTTTTTTCTCTCTCCCTCTCTCTTTCTCATTTTATATTATGTACACACACACATGCACACATGCACACGCAATTACATACGATACCGTAGGAATCATGTAAAAATGCGTGCAATAATATAATATGTAGAAATCAATTTGGCCAGGATCGATGCGTTTTTTGCTGTCTCTCTTTCGAGCGGGAGCTCCGAAAAGTTGCCTGGCTCGGCTCGATTTGCGATCGCGCGCGCGCGCGTGCAACTGAGCACAATAGACATTGTGTGCCTTTTTCGGCCAATCATACGTATTAAGATGGAAGTGCGTGTATGATCGATTGATCGTGACTAATTCCAATTTCTATATAATGTATTATGTACGAGGATGATCGCGATCGAGCCGATGCCGAAACGTCGAATTGCCGAATTACCGAATTGCCGAATCGCCGAGAGGGGAAAGTGAGAAATCTGCTTGTTGTGCGCGTCAAAGCTCTAATGTGTCACCTTATACCTATTTTCCCAATGCTTTTTCAGAAACTCGTCGTCTGTATAGAGGAGCGACGTTTAACTGATGTGTTTATCTTGGCAGTCAAAGTCGACACGTCTCGAGCAGCAGCTCGTCGACTTTTGGCCCGATCATCTTCCCGGAACGTATGGGCTGCGCACACGAGCGCGTGAGCTTTGCCGGCCAAGATAGAACAATGGAGTGCGCTGCGCGATGCGTTAACGGAAAGCGATTAATATGTCATGCGAGTACTTACGGGAATGCAATCGAGCCCTCCAGCCTAACGGATCGCTGACCAGCCCCTGCAGTCCAGGCCAGTAAATCGCCGGATGCCTCGGCTCGGCTCGCTGCTGAAACTGTCCTATACCTGCGCCACACGTTACAATCAGCGAGTCATTAACTAAATCAGTCGTTGCAACTAAATGAAAATCGAGTCGAGTCTGATTATTACCGGTCGAGGCGGCGAATCCCGCGTGCATCGCGTATCGAGGAGCCAACTGGCCCGTCGCGGGCTGCTGTTGCTGCTGCTGTTGTTGTTGTTGCTGCTGCTGCTGATGCTGAGCCTGAGTCGCCGGGGGCCTCGACAGGATCGTGTCGATACCGTGTGGATTGCTGCCGACCGACGTGATGGATGTCGCCGGACTGTGTTTGCCGCTGCCCGTGGGCGACGGCTGACCCTGTTGCTGCTGACTACTCCGCTCAGCCATCGAGTGCAGAGCCGCCAGAGGCTGACTCGCCGCGAGCATCGATCCCGCGGCCGCTGCGGCGTTCAGGTTGAGGAACTGCAGCACGTGGGGCGAGGCAAAGTCGTGGAGCCAGGGCGGCCGCGGCACCACCGAGCCCATGGGCGACTGGCCTCCTCCCGCGCTCGAGCCCGTCGTCGGCCCCCCCAGTTGGCCCTGCTGGGCGTGCGGCGGCTGCGGCTGACTGGCCGCCGGCGGCGGCGAACACGAGCCCAAGGACGAGCCGGCCGAGCTGCTGCGCTCGTCCTGCATCTGATGCTGACTGCTCGAGTCCTGATGGCCTAGCTGCAGCGAGAAACGCACGGATAGTCAGGAGAGCTGCAGTACGAGACGTCGACGTTGTTTTTAGAGGCAGCGACCCGATGGAATTTCCACTTGGAAATGCGCCTCCGTGCGTATCGCGAGTTCAAAGCCTCGGCTATGTTTTTAGAGCAAATATTATCCTTAGCAGGAAGAAAAATACGCGCGACGCAGGTGGCTTTTACTCTTTTGCTTTTTTACTTTTTTACGGCTCATTTGTCACGTGTTTGGATACGAAGCAGCTATATATCGAAGCTCGAGCGGGCCTACTCGGTAAACATTTCGTGTCGCGCGACTCGGCCATGCGACAGCCAGAGAAATTGATAGCCGATCGCGACGATGAAGCAAACTGTAACGAATACCTACCGAATGATGATGATGATGATGATGATGATGCAGACTATTGGAATTGGACAGGTGAGCCGGTGGCGGTGCTTGCTGCGATTCCGTCGCTGTGACAGCGGCTGTCCTGTCCTCGTCCAGTCTCAGTAACGAGTTCGATCTGCGCTGAAGATGCTGCTGCTGCTGCTGCGAATGACGATGGGATGAGGACTCGCTGCTGCCGTTGGCAGCCGATGACATATCCAAGGCGCCGAAGTGCTCGAGTACCGTCTCGGCGGGCGGCTGATGCTGCTGCTGATGCTGATCCTCAGCGGCTGCACTGGCGGGCCGATCTTTACTCAGGGTACTGCTGCACACCATGGCCGAGAACTCGGCGGCATAGCCCTCGTACGTCAGAGTCCGAGCCGCCGCCGCTGCCTCTCGCGCTCCACTCGACGATCGTGCGACAATTAGCCAGACTCGCGCGCACTATCAACAAAGTCGCGATTCGCGCACACCGATTATTGCCCAAGGCGCACTTTGTCACTGCTGCTGCTGCTACTTATTTATATACGAGGCTCCTTCTTAGACGCACTGTCTCGACACCGACTCCATCTCGACTCGCGCTCGCTCGCTACAAAAAAGGCTGGAGCCGCTGCAGGAGCTGCGACGTCTTTGGTATCATCGGGTCTCGCGTTTTCAACGGAACTGCCTGCAAAAGACTCGCAGCCTGGGCCAAAGCTCCTCGGTGGCTCCCATGCTTGTGCAAAGTAGAGAGAGAGAGAGAGAGAAAACGGCTATATAGGAAATCGCCGTATACACCAGGCGGTTTCGCAGTCTCTTTTAACCATTGGCTCGGTTGGCGATAGGCGGAGCTTGCCTAGAGCGATTGGCACGCGCCACACGCGCACACACACACACGTTTGCGCTCGCTACTGTCTATATGGAGCGCGCGTGTATATGCACAGACTGTACGCGGCTAACGGCACGCAGAGGATAGCTGCGCGCTGCAAAAGTAGGCGGAGCTTAATACTCAATCTCACGTTAGCTTCTTGTTAAGCGTCTTTCATTGTCTGTTTAAACTCGTTATTTATGATGCCGAGACTGAATAAAACAAGAGCTCCTTCTACAAAGACGACGCGATCCTTTCGCTGCTGCTCGCTCGCTCGCTCCTCGTCTCGGCTTCCTTCCGAAAGACGCGACGGATACGCCAACATTCGGATGGAACGAGAGCGAGGATACGATCTGCGACTTTGGACGCGGATTTATGCCTTTAAAGCCGATGCCTTTAATCGGACAATTTGCTGCCAATCTTTGCCCGATCGAATTGCATATAGGCTCGAGATCGAGCTTTCCTATTGAATCCGGTCGCGCTACCAATCGTCCTCGAGCTTTTCCTCCCTCGACTTGTCCATTACCTTTCTTTTCCTTTATTTTCCAGTCTCCGATTTCTGCGACGTTTAATTGCCTAGATAACAGCGATTCAAGCCCGCGGCAATTATTATTATACGTATGCAAGTCGGCTGCCATATGCGCCCGAGCAATAAAAAAAAAAAAACAAAAAACAAACGCGAAAGTTTAATAGCTTCGTTGATTAATCCCCTCGCTAATAAAAGTCTGCCAAGTTCAGAATGTAAAATATATCGCGCGCTCGAGTTGATTATTCGAGAGAGCACATTACGATTATTAAAGCACCACAAATTATTCGAGTTGAAGCGAGGCTGCTGCCATGAGGCCGAATCATAAGCGCAGCCCAGTCATGAGAGACGTAGTGTTAAACAATTGTCTATTTCTCTCTCCGTCTCTCTCACACACTGACGCGCACAAAAACGAGTATCATAAGGGTATACGCATTTATACACAGGGCAAAGTCCGAAGGGGAGGTTACTCAGCCTTTTACTGGCCTCGACGATGATACGTCGTTATTTAACTAGGGTGTGCATGTATATTATATAGTTAAAGCATCTATCCCTCAAGAGGATAGCTCAAGTATAAACTGGTCCATCGGACAAGAGCAAAGAGAGCGAGAGAGAAAGACAAGGCGTTACTTTTGATTCTCGCAATCGAAAAGCTAATGCTGTCCAAATAGCTGGATATTCGCGAGCCAGCGAGAGCAGTTGCTGCGTACAAATAAAGCTCAAAATGAAATGAAAAAAAAAGGGGAGGACAGCTGCAGTGGCAAATAGACGGCCCAACTAGCGGACGAGTAATGTGTGTCACTGAGAATACACACAGGCACGAACGGAGCAGAATAGAAAAAGAGAAAAATAGCGAGTAGCGGCTCGGTATAGTGCGCGCAGTCTCAGCAAAAGTCAACCGAGCGTTATATTGCTCCCTATTCATCGTGTCATTCTTCTAATTTTCTGCTACAGCTATTTACACGCGCGCGAGTCGATTCAATAGACGTGCAAAGCAGCAGCGGCAGCTAAAGCAGTGGCAACTATAGACTTTATATCATCATCACCGAAGCAAAAGCAGCAAGTATTACGGTAGCGAATTATTAGGCTGTAAATTCAGCGGCTCTCGGTTAAAAATCCAAATCGGATACGCCGAGCCGAGCGTGAAAAAAGACCGAGAGATTATTTTTTAATTAGGCGATTATGTCTGCTTAGTTAGTGCCCGCGCGCGAGGCCGAATCTGCGCACTTGGAGCCATGCACAATAATAATGATACTCATCCATCATCGAGATAGATATAGCTATATACGGCTGCCGTGCAGCCCGCGACGACGCATTAATTCGTCGTTAAGGCCGCAAATGCGCCCCGACCGAACGAGCTATATAAGCGAGCCAATGATGCATGCAGTAGACACATATATATGTGTGTGTGTGCGTTTTGCCATTGATTTTTCCAGCTTCTTATGCTACCGAGCTGTGCCGCCGAGTTGCCGAGGAATATCTTAGCTAGCCAACGATGCGATAAAGTACCAAATGTATGCGAGTCTGCACTGATATTCAATCCCTCTATATTTTTTTCTCTCTCTCTAAAGACAGAAAGAGAGAACGAGAAAGTCGGACGCGATCGACATAATAAAAAGGATTGAAAGCTGCGACGTCTTAGAAGCGAGCACGTATGCAATAATCGTTGGAATCACCTCTGCACGAGTCCATTCATCGGCTTATGTATATGAATTTGCCCGCGTAATATGAGGGGATACGCAGGAAAAAGTCAAAAAATGTGTATGTATATTATGAGAGAGAGAGAGAGAGAGAGGAAGCATTATAGCGAGCACGAGTATGAAAGCCAAAAGAGCGACAAATCTGTTGGGCACACAATGGACCCGAGCTATAATAATGCGCTTATATACGTGTGTGCCGTCAAATTAGGCACAGGTCATGTGTATGTGTGCGTTATATACAGCGCTTTGACTTTTAAATGCATCCCCAAACCCTCTATACAAACATATTATAGGAAAAAGTGAGCATGTGCTGTGTGCCCTGTATGTGTGCACAGAAAAGTGAGCAGCAGCAGCAGCCATTATATCCTCTCGATCTCTATTATAAGGTATAAAAGGGAGCTTCCGAGCATTGGCCGTGTCGAGCAATACATAATGAGCGATGATCATCCATTTATATAGAGAGGCAGCAGCGCACCTATATACGAGCTTCTTCCTGTCCAAGTCGCACCTTACTCTCGCGCTCACACGATCTCTCTCTCTCTATTACTCGAGATATGTGTATTGCCTGTGTCGAGCTAATCGATCGATATGTTCCCAACACGTATAATGAATTTACTCGCGATAATTTGTCACAGAGTCTCGCGCTCGCGATGAGAGAATATCGCGCCGAGCTCCATGGGCGGTCGCGAGCACGAATTGCGACAAAATATATGTGTAGTGTATGTAACGAGCCAATGATGCATCATAGGAGCTAATAATACGTGTAGACCTTCGTTTTCAGCTTTATGCCTTTTTAATGGTGGCCGAAGCACAATCGGCTTCATTCAGACTTTTCGGAAGTCGCACTGCTTTACGACGTTATTATATGTATGGGCCAGTGCAGCAGCTCGCTAATGCGACGAGTCGGACGCGCGAGCTTATAATATAAATTATTATATACATGCACGACGACAATCGTTGGCTCGGCGAGGCAATCGTTTCAAACGACGGATTAATGACCTTTTGTAGCGGGCGCGTATTATTTCACCTGCGCAGCACTGCCTCAAAG